TATACCGACGAGTGTGAGATCCGGCGCCAGATAGTGGTCGCCATACAGAATATTAACGGCGTTTATATCGGTATATTTCCGCCCGACGCCGCTTTCAAGGCCTGTGTTTTGCATCAAATCGGTATGTGTTTTAGCTTGGTGACATTATTTTGCGTTTATTATCATGTTTTGTTATAATGTAATGCTTTTACCCCGTTGTTCAGAGCTGTTCCGGCGCCCATCCATGGCCTGTGTGGAGGCCGTCACCTCCGAGTTGCACGATATTGTACGCGATTGTGTCGATACAATGGACACGTATACCCCGATCAAGTAATCAGTCAACTTTTTTACCATGATTTTGGTGTTTTTATAACCTTGTTTAATTGTGTTTTTTTGTAGAGAGTTTTACACAAAACTGAGCCAACAGTTTGTGGACGAGTGTAAGAAACGGTGCAAACACTGTGTCGAGCACCTGATCCGCGTCGAGAAGGCCTACCTTAACACTAATAACGAGGATTTCATCAAATTATACATGTATGGCAATTAAATATCTAATTTATCACATATTAATAACTTATTTATTACATGTTTAGCGAGAGTATCGGTCAAATCACTGTCGCTGAACCGACTACAGGCGCCGCCGCGGCTCAGGTTCCGGTGCCCATCACTGAAGGGACAAGTGGTGGCGCTGGCGGTATTGCCGGTGGCAGTGTTGGCTCTGGTAGTGATCACCCGAGTAATTACAAGGGCGACAGTTTGCCGTTTACAATGCTGCCCGAGGATGAGTTGGTGTCGAGCACCTGCACCGAGTCGACCGTAGGCGCCGCCAGTGTCGACGGCCAGACCATACCGGCCCACATGCGGGTACACGTGGAACAGATCAAGCGCTTGATCGACGCCTATGTCGTGTTACTTAAGAAAAAGTTTAGGTATTGTTTTACAAGATACTAGTGTTGGGATTAGTTTACTAACTGTCCATTTGTGGTCTACTTCAGGGATCATTTGCCAAAACTCTGTACACTGGAACTGATCCACGCGACCAAAGAGTTCATTGGGACGGCGTTGAGAGTCCGCATCCGAGACCACATCCATACCATCGACGACATCAGCGGCGGTGAAGATCCCGACAAAGAGTTGCGATTAGATTTGCTTAATAAACAACAGCACTATTCCGATGCCATCGAGATATTGAGGTCATATAGGGATGACTGGACTGTTTGATTGTGGTCATAATTATGATGATTTTTGCTATAACTAGTTAATGTTAATTCTGAGTTTGGTTGTTTATTATATTATGTGTTGATTAAATATAATTTAATTAATTACATGTAAATCATTGTCTGGTTGTGTTTTGTATCCAATTGTCAAACTTGTGAAACACAAATGAAAAGTTTATTATTAGTATAATTATAAATAATAACTCTCTTTTTTTAATAATAGTAACTTAATTAAATTATATTAAATTATAATTTTGTAATCGCTTTCTCATTGAGCGCACATTTTGATATCTGATTTGTAAACATTAAATATAAATACTGTACTTTTATTTTTATAAATAATAAAATGAAAATGAAAACATTTTACTTTTTATTTTTATTAGACTTATAAACTAAACTTTATGTTTTTACAAATGCGATTGGTTAATTATTTATTTTACAAACATTATTCTCTTTTATTAAAATCACATTGTTAATTATAGCATTTAATCAATGTCATTTTTAACTAATTAATTTCCAACATAATTTCTAACTATCATATACTTGGGTACTATTATGTTTTAGTTACATTGCATACAACCCCACCGCGTAATAATTATCAATCATAAATGCTTTTAACAAGCAAGTTCATCAGGTAAATTAATATAATTAAACATGGTTTGGTACACCTGAACGATAATGTTATTTGTCGATAATAACAATAATATTAGGCAAAGAACATTTCTTATTATCCTACTTTTAATGTTAAAGTGAGTTTATCTACTTAAATCACAGTATTTTAAGTGCTATCCCAAATATGGGTAACATTTTTCAATAAAATAAATGGGGCGAGCGAGGTAATTAATTGAACATAGTGAGTATGTTCAATTGTGTACTTCAAATTAATTTTTATAAACTGGTTATAATTTTTAAAATATGATAACTTTTGAATTTGAACACTAATTTTAATGTGAGATAAATGGATTAGGGTGATTATTGATGAATTTAAATTTAAAACAACCCTGATATCATTCAGGCATCACTTTCACGTTATGCACTTAAGGTAAAACTAGTTTTAAACCCATATCTAACTAAAAGTTTATTAATAATTATAATAAAAAATAATAAAATTTTGCGATAATAAAAACTAATTGTGTAACAAAAAATGTGATCTCAGTTTTGCACTTAAATGTCATATAAAATGAGCTGAAATTTGTTTGTAATATTAATTCATTTAAAATAAATACTTAATTTTATTTAATTAAATTTAATTGTAAATAAAAACCATTTAATAAACACCATGTGGAAAGTTAACTGGCGTTCAATACGCGATGAATGGGATAAATATTTTTACACCGCATATCTTATACTGACAACTCTGGCTTATGTGAGTATATAAATTATTATTTATTAAAATTAATTATAATTCAATTTATCTAAATTAATATTGAATTAATGCCTATTACGTCAAACGTGACCAGGGTATAATATTTTCATTATTTTCTAACATCATGACTGACATGAGATTGATATTCAAAACATCGCTAACAATGATGACACTATACCAGACACTAGAGACTGTGGGCTATATTCTGGGCACTTTCGGTAGGGTATACCACAAACTACTCCCGTTATACTAAACATACCACACATTATATAACACATACTCTCACACCATTAGTTGGCCTAACCTACCGGTACTTGAACCGGCAACTGGTGGTAGCCGTATGTTTTGTCATATTAACCGTGGTCAATAGTGTATTGCCAATGGTGCCCAACCTGCCGGTGCTGTACGTGTGCGCTGTGGCATCGGGTTTTTGCTCCAGTGTTATCATGTGCTCCTACACCGTATGGACAATGGAGATGTGGGGCAGTCGGTCGGCACCCGTCCTATACCTCGAGGACTTTTCCTATGGCATCGGCTCTACGATAGTGTCGGCTGTACTCAAGCCCTTTGTTGTGGGCGATGTGGAGGCGGGTCGGGAGGCTGTGACCACAACACTGGCCCCACTCGTAGGTTATGGTCTGAATAATACGATTGACCGGGCGTTAGTGTCGGGCGGATCGCTGCCTATGAATGATGATTATGATAGACGTGCGCTACTGACACAACCCTTTATTATTATTGGTGTTTGCGTTATACCAGGTTAGTTTTGGTTGTTATTATAGATTGTACTTGGTTGATTGAGTGAGTGAGTGAGAAAGAGAGAGAGAGAGAGAGAGAGAGAGAGAGAG